CTTTTCTGGAACTGTAGTTCATCTATCCTCATTTCTTCCATAATTTTCTAATTCCTTTAAAACATAATTTTGTAATTTTCCAGTTTTTTCTAGTTGTTTCAGTAAGAGGTTGTCCATTCACCACCTACTACATTTATTTAGAAGCTGAAGTCTCAGTAAATATTAAAATAATTCTTGTTCTCATTCAAAATCCTGTGCTACTTATAGTTTCTGGTTCATTAATCATATCTTTATATTGTTTTATTACTTAATGTGTGTTAGTCTTATTTCTTTGGAAAATGTTGAGGGAAGAAATGTTTTATGTCTTGTATAGACCTATTATAGTACTGTACATAGCATAATTAAAAGCCAATTAGAAACACGAAGTTGAAAAATCTAGTCTATGTGACATGATATCACAATCACAATTCTTCCAGCTTTATCCTTGTAAATCTGTGTCTAATCCATATATCCAATTATCTATTCATATGTACATTCTCTCTCTCCCTTTCTCTCTCCTCTCTCGAACCCCCTGCAAATTGTCTTTATAAAGCTCTGCTGAAGGGCTGATAGAGCAAGTATATACGAAACAAATCTACAGCTTTTGTAAATCTGCTTACAAAAAAGTGGCTCTTTGCATTGTTTCTTATCCCTTAAGTGTGAAATCCACCTGAGAATTTAGGGCAATAAAGGTTTATTTCTCATGAAAACTTACACGCTTCCTTCAATTAAGCAAAGATAATTTTCTAATCTATGTAGTTTCTTTTTGCCCTGACTGCTATGAAAATATGAGCTGTTGTTTTACTGATTGAAGCATCCTTCTCAGTCAGTGTGGTCACACACACACAACAACTCCTACTCTTGTAAAGAGACAAAAGGAAGAGATATAAAGATAAATAAAAAGGAATCACACACATGCATGTATGTATGTGTGTGCATGTGTGTTTGTATAGTACATGAGTGAGTGTTACATATTCCTTTTTATTTCTTACTCTCTTACCTTTTTGTCTCTATATTTCTTATGTGCTAATTGTGCTGACATTTTTATACTTGTATATCTATTACAAGCCACACCAAATTTTGAAAATGGGTAAAAGAGCTTAGGAACTAATATAAAGCCAATATGATAAAGTAGAGAGTTAGATACTCATCAACTTTGAGAAGACCTAGGCTTTTTATGGCCAGCAGGACCAAGTTAGCATCATTCCTTCAATAGTCACCAAATATTGAATCATTAAGACAACACAACCTATACAACCTCCTAAGGTTCTTATTGTTCATTTTCCCTGACTTGTATTTTTCACTTATAAAAATGTCTAAATATCTATCCATGATATAACCTCAGTCTTTACGTGTTTAAAATATATAAAAAGTAAAATTTATAAAACTTCCTCAAAGTTTGCCAACATAAATTTTGGGAATCTTGAAGTATCTGAACTGCTAAGTGACCTTTGTTTATACTTTAACAATAGGGGGCAAAGATAAATCTCTAACAGAGAATATTATAAGCAAAGGTCTAAGATATAGATGACATGATACGCTATACTATCAAAGCTTATATATCTGTGGCATCACTGGGTTAGGGGGAAACTGATAACTCTTTAATGAGGACAACCTAAAATTTTTTCTGCAATATCTATAGTTAGCAATTTGTGCCCAAATGGTACACCAATGGCAATTTCACTTTATATTTCAGATGCCAAATAAACTATGTCCATAATAAAGTAGATTGCTAATTCCATTTGTGCAGAAAACAATGTTGCTTGAAGGATCATTTCAAAATAAAAAGGACAATTTGTGTAATTATTTGAGGCCTCCTAGTAATGATTGTAGTCCTGAATTAAACTTAAGTTCACACAAGCACAATCTGTCAACTTGTATTCTAGTCAGTTGTAAGTTTGGGATACAAGGCAAAATGAATGTTTACTGAGGGCCAATGTTGGAGCAAGTTGAAGAAAGTCAGTCATCTGTGTAAGTAATTATCTAAATATGTTCTGTGGTTTCTCCAACTTTCTACACATGAATTTATTAAAAAGTTATCACAACAGTGATTTTTATAAACAAAAGACTTTATTTCAAATATATTTTACAGTTTGCATGTAATTAAGATTGCTTTTCAGACTGAAATTTTATACTAAATTGAACAGGCAATATACAAAATGATGGTGTTTACTTAGGACTACTGAATTCCTACAGTTGTTCTGCTAATTCTTTTTCCTTTTAAAAACTGAACCAGTAGAGACATCATTATCAATGATAAAACAACTTTCATCTTGGTTATATCTTGAGTAGCAACTAAGTACCATTCCATTCCATATTCACTTGCATGATTAGAAAATGCTAGTAATCGGGGGGGGGGAGGGTAAAATCTCATGTATGTGCATCTGTCTAATTAAAAAATGATGATGGATTGCGATCAGAGCTGAACTGCTTCATTATTGGTGGTATAAGTAGTTTGCTAAGCAAATTGGTAGAACAAGCAAATTGTAGGACAGATGTTTAGCCTGTTTAAGAAAACATAACTATTTTTTAAGAACTTTTAGTAATACTATTGCATTCACTTTACATACTAATTACAATGCTTACTTATAAAACAGGTCTTTTCAGCTAGCTATTACGTTCATTGCTTTAGAAACTCAAGAAAAATAAATTGGATTTTTTTTCATAAATATTTTTTAACTTAGACATTGAACTAATTCATGCTTACCTTCACCTCCATTGCTATAATTGAGGTTTCAATGATAATGTCAAGTTATAAATAGGACTGACTTCTGAGCTTTAAAATTTGGTAAGAATGAGAGTATCCTGATTTTTGAAAAACACAGACCTGAACTTCCTTAAACACCAATAACTAAAATTGGCAAAATTGAGATAAAT